ACTGTCTTCATTTTTATAATTCAATGACAAGTAGCAAATCGAATGATAAACTGGGCATCACATTTATTTTTTATGCGTCTCCATTTCTTGACGATGTAAAAATATCTCCCTTTTAATAATAAAGTTAGATAAAAATCACATTTACTCTCCAGATAATTTTAAAAAAAATATTTCAGCCAACGTTTCGCCATTACGATTTCATCAGGGTTAGTTCTAAGTTCCTTTTTATGCACTACAAATACTGATAAACAACAAAATATCCCCATTTATTGAAAAAGTAACACTTATTTGTCAAAACGATTACTGAAGAAGGCAAACGTTTAAATGAAAACTCGTTTATTTGCGCTATGTTTTGGGCGTATGCTCTTTGTCAGACTTAAAAACAGTATAAAGAACGCACAAACTACGTATACACATACTAAAAATAAACGGCCTTATAACACTAGATTTTTTGTTTTCCTTTAAATAGATACTCAACGTTTCGCTTTACAGTTTCTTTAGGAGAGTGCTCCACTAAAACACAAACCGTAACTGACAATATAAAAGTATTATATAAGTATTATGGCCGGCATGGCCAGGTGGTTAGAGCGCTCGACTCGCAATCTGTGGGTCGCGGGTTCGAATCGCAGTCAACATCACCCAGCGCCAACTCTTTGGTTACTCTTTTACCAGCGAATTGTGAGATTGACCATTACATTATAATGCCCCCACGGCTGAAAAGGTGAGCATGTTCGGTCAGGAGATTCGAACCCGCGTTCCATTGATTACGAGTCGAATGTCCTAACCACCAGGCAGCGCCAAGCCCGTATACAAATATGAATGACAAAACTGAACAGATGAGAAGAAAATAAAACATGGCGTGTTTAAAAACATGAGTTATTTGTAACAAACATTGTTGCGTTAATGTGGCCTGAGACAACAATTAAGTAAAATAAAGGAATCTATAATATTATTAGATAAGAAAACAAAACAAACTGTATATCAAGTTTTTAGAAACACCTATTGGTGGAGACAGAACATTTATTTGGGTGCAGTGTTTCGTCTCTAAAGGTGAATATGATCACGTAGAACATTCAAAATACATAGACATTCGTACGTTGTAAGTGATCATGTCACACGGTTAGAGACGAAACACTATACGCAAATAAATCTACTATCTCACCAATAGCTGTTTCAGAAACTTTAAGTTTGATAATTAAGATAACATATATACATATTAAACTTAAGTGGTAACGAGAAAAAATTAAGAAGAAAGATGTATAATTAGCTTACTATGCAAAATAAAACAGAGATCGAGATGGATATAGTATTGTTACGTCTCCGTTTGTTAATTAAATTTCCGTAACTTCGTTCCGACGAAACTTTAGCGACACAAGTCCTTACTTAATAAAACTGGTTTATTCTTTCCGAATATAACTTTATGATACACTTAATTTCAACAATCGCGCTAAAACAAACGCTATAACAACGAACGTGCTCAATAATACTCTCTGACTGCAAGTTCAATTACTCACTGTCTACACACACACATTGTTCCGTCACGTTGTCACCCTCTTATATATATATACCAGACTACCCTATATCTAGTAATCTTCCGACTATTCCCGAAGGTTCGAGAGGTGGCGTGACACCAGTCACGTGACCTCGCTGACGCAACAGTATCAATACATATATCGTAGGGAATGATTGGGAATGTAATTGGTGATAGCGAAGATACACTGGTGGAATTAATATACAAAAAAAAGTTTTAATTACTTGAAAAATAATCTTTCGTTTATTTCATGGAGTGACAAATAATTTAATTTAACTGCAAGTAATACCAGATTGTGTTCTAAGCTTTCAGGTTTAGATCTGAAAGGGTGATATAGTAGGGCAAGTACATTCATATCGTTGGTTCCGTTGTGGTCTGGGGCGTTAATGTTTTGGAACAGGGAGTCGAAGGTGTTCTCGAAACCTGTTGGTCTCACCAATATAAATCTACGTCGTATACAGCGAATGCATTATATGATGCATTCCGAGGTACAGATGAAATGTTGACACGTGGAATTTGTGTTCGAGACAGTCTTAGTATCGTATGTGAGATATAAACTCGTCTACGGGCGGAGTTCCTTGAGTTGTGACATTAGTTTCTAATTTACAACGTAATAAGTGGTATTTCAAGTTCTTTTCATGTTCGTTAAGAAATAAGGGAAGGGTTAGTGAATTTGTGAGCGGATGTGTAGTCTCTCGTAAACAAGGTAAAATTTCTTTGGACAATTCTGTTAGTCTGACTATTAAATAAGTGGTATGGAAGAACCAAATTGATTACCTCAGTATGTGTGTAGTCTGTCTCTGGGTTGGTGGCAATCAGCTTGTGATAAATCCAGTTATCCAGCGGAATAGTTATGTTGTTGAAAGAAATATGATGCCCAGTCTGTCATTAGAGTCGCCACTTGTCATAAGTTGTACTTATTTCGGGGGAATTCCACCCTATATCAGTAACCCTTGACAAGAGCAAACCGGAAAAACATTACTAGGATTCTTACAGTGATGAACTTTGTATTATACGTGTGGTATATGTAGTTTTCATACCAATACAAACATGGGATCGCTGTAGTGAGTAAAGGACAACAATCGATAGTAAAGAGTAGCCCAAGAGTTGGCGGTGGATAGTGTTGACTAGCTGCCTTCCCTCTAGTTTATAACTTCAAAATTAGGGACGGCTAGCGCGGATAACCCTCAAGTAGTTATGCGCGAAATTCAACACGCAAGTAACCGTTAAATCCCTTTTTTCGGCCAATTAAAAACTACAATTCGATTTTTCCATGAAAATGCGACGCACTAGAAAAAAGTCGCAGAAGAGAAAGGCATATGATCATGGCCTGTTTTATCTACATTCCGACCTTTAGATGCCAATTCGTTGCGCACAGACAGACAGATGAAAAGACAAAGAAATTCACCGTTTCAACCTGATCTGCGGGAAGTTATTTTTTATTACCTCAAACCTCCTCATTTCGCTCGCAGATTTGAATAATACTTTCATTTACTGGCGGAATAACAGAGCATTGGTTGATGGTATATCATAGTTTTACTTTGTTGTCAATAAATAACAGTGTCCTTATATGATGATCAAATTAACTGTCTACTTTTGAATAAAAATCTTCTAAATCTGGATATTCTTTCATTATAATTGATTATTAATAGAAAGACAATGGTTGAGCTAATATTAAAGGAACGAAAGTATTAATATGCATAACCTATTATCGATACCCTAAGTATAGAAACTTTCACATGCAATAATATATTTATTTATATTATTTTCCTTTTGAATAGGTTTCTATGGAACATTGGTAAAACATCCTAAGGTGTGAAATTTCTCGAAAGGAATTTTAATATATTCTCCAAACAATTTGCTTGTTTGTTTTAATTTCGCACAAAATTAGTCGAGAGCTACCTGCCACCTCCAATTTGTAAATAAGTTAATTACCATCAGCTACATCCAATTCTTGGGCTACTCTTTACTAACGAATAGTTACATTATAAAGACTCCAAGATTGAAATGGCGAGCATGTTTAGGGACGGGATTCCAACTCACAGCACTCAGATTGCGAGTCTAGTGTCCTAACCACCAGGCCATCCCACGCCATTCCTATAACATATTCATTTTTATACTCAATTGTACTTCATTCTTGATAGAAATAATAACTGGATCATTTGTTGTGTTTTGTATCTTGTAAACACCCCCTTAACATAAATAATAATAATAAGTAATCTCTGGAGTTACTTATCAGGTATTCGTTTTTAACAGTCTTTCGCATTCCAGTCAGCATAACATCAATTAAAATATTTCATTTTGTCAAGTAAGTTAGTGTAAATTTGTATTTTTTTTAAGTTCCCTCCAAACTGGTTATCTTTCTTATTTTCTTAATAGGTAAATATTTTAGCCTTGTGACTTTTTCCTTCACGAAAGTTACCTGTTGAAACTATTGTTATTTAACACTGCTGTAGTTTAAGTGTTAAGTGAACTTAATATTCGTTTAGTGAGTGTTTGTGCTTTAACAATGCCATTGTTCAAGGATCATTGTTGATGAATAACAGCGGTAATTTATTTGTTCTTTTTGGAGTTTCGGTAGATTTAAACAGAATTTTAAAAAACGATTACTTCAAAAATAAACGTCTCAATTTGATTATTCAAATCGACGTTTTGGGTGAAAAGGAGCAAATATTCCCGGAAACATGATCTTGAAAAATTAAGTTAAGAGGTCCGATATACCCGGAAACATGATCTTGAAAAATTAAGTTAAGAGGTCCGATATACCCGGAAACATGATCTTGAAAAATTAAGTCTGGAGGTCCGATATACCCGGAAACATGATCTTGAAAAATTAAGTTAAGAGGTCTGTTTTCGATTTCAATTTTAAATAATAATTTCTTATCTTTTATTTAATTCTTTCATGCCTCCCAGTGGCACGGCTTACAACGCTAAAAACCGGGTTTCGATACCCGTGGGGGGGGGCAGAGCACAGATAGCCCATTGTGTAGCTTTGTGCTTAACTTCAAAGAAACAAACAAAAAAATTATTTGATTTACGAAAAGGTAATACACTCAGAAATAATTACATTCGAGTGTGATATTTGTAACATCGCACATTACGTTATCATAAAAAGAGAAATATTACTATTATTAGTAATACTAGCACGTGCGTTTTTAATGTAAAATCTCTGTTCCTGAAAGATGTTACAATTGTATTCAAGAACAGAATCAGTCTTTATGAATTAGTGTAAAACATTACTATTTAATATCTCACGCTGTACGAAAACCCCTACAGCCCTAAAGAAAAAGCTTTTGTGATCGATTTTCCTTTTGTATACCAAGTAAAGTTTAAAATCCTAACTCAAATTCTAAATTATTAGTGATACTTTAACAAGCATAATCTGTTTTTACCAATTTACATCTATACAGTTTCAGCCAATATATTATAACTTCTTACGAATGCATAAATAATTCTATGTCGAGCGTACCTTAAAATGTCTTCCAAATCGCTTGTAGAAATATTTGCTGCCATCATTTGATTCACTGTTTAGCCGCTCTCAGTAACTCGGACAAGGATTTCCTACGATTTTTCCCGAGTTAATTATCGATCTTGGCTAGGGCTTCATGAAATGGTGGGACGATGTTTTATTATAGCAAAACCGAAAAGTATAAGTGAACAAATGGTTAGAATATCCTACAAAATATACGAGTAGACTGCTTAGGGGTAGTTTAATCAATAACTATCCTTAAGGAATAAGATTCTGTGGAATTACGAAAAAATCAAATTGTTATTAGTAAAGTAATATTAGGCCTCGAGCCCTTTTATTGTGTGGTGTTAACTTGAAACGTTGATTCAATGATGGGATAACATAAATTTATGTTTATTAACAGTGTTATTAGCATTTCATAAAATCTTATAATCCGTTTTTGTTTTTTAGGTTTACTACACGGAAGCCTAAGCTCATATCAGTTTTTGTATGATGGTGATATTCTAATATTTTGTATTTATATTACACAACATCAGTTGGAATATTTATAAATAAGCGGTAATTATAAAATAATTTTACAGGGGGTCAGTTGTAAGTTTACAGACTTAAAACTCTAAAATTCGATACTCGATTCCCCACGGTAGACAGAGCGCAGAACTAAAGAACAAACAACCAATTACTTCATATGTGGTGGTAGTGGTAAGAAGAGATTTTGTAAGAGCGAGATTTTTATTAGATTTCAGTTATGAAATGAACCACTTATTATTCAATGGGCTAATATAATTTTAAAGAGAGCTAACTTAGCTTATGAAGGTTACAAGAGTCAGTATTAGCTATCACTATTAAGAATTATGGATGTATAAACGATTTCAGTTCAGAAAATTCAAAAGTATGATTTGCATATTTTAAGAAAGACTTAAACTTCTGGAAAGAACACTTTGTACCAAGGGCGCCCGCAGAAGAGAAAAAATTAGGGGGGATCAAGTAACTCAAGTTTGAAAAAATTATGAAATAGAAATACAAATACCTTATGATTTTTCCAATAACATAGAAGAAGAATTTTACATATCTAGTATTTTTTTTTTCTTTTTGGAAATCCAGGGGGGACCAGTGACCTCCCTTACCCCTTCCTGCGTGCGCCCATGCATTGTACAGACTTCAAACGATTCTCGGCATGTTTACTTCATTATATTTGATAGGCCGAACGTGGTGTGATGGTTAGCGTACCTATACTGTGAATCTGATAGTTCATGGTTCGCAGTCCCTTGCTACAAATTCGCGCTCTGTACTTTGGGGCTGTGAGTTTGTTGTGACAGTGACAGACAAATCCCACAATTCGATTAGAGTAATCAAAGAGTTGGTGGTGAGCATTGTTGCCTAGCTATCTTCTCTATAGCTTATTAGTGGAAAATTAAGGGCTACTATGCACGGATAGCCTTTTGTGACTTTGCATAAAAATTTTGAAATTATCTTTTCAGACAATAACTTTATTAAATTTAATTTTCAAATGAAAATTTTATGGTGTGAAGTAATCCTAGTTTTAGTTGTAGTTTCAACATCCAGCACAGGTAAAGAAAATACACATCTGAGAAGTGTAAAATATATATATATATATCATTACAATCAAGAGCACTATGGAGTAACTCATCATTATAACCTTGACGCGTTTTACATTACTTCGATCTTATAAGAATCTATACCTTATAAGAATCATACAAAATATTAACAGAAAATATAGCCCACAAGTATTGAATTTAAATAGGTAAAGTGTTATTGTTGTTTGTTTTGGCAAAAAATGGCACAATGGGTCATCTCCCCTGTGTCCCCTGAAACTTATCACTGGGCGATCGATGACATGGATAAACAATCTTTGTCTTTGACATTTCGACCTACACCATTAACTTTCTTTTCTCATTGTCAGTTCAGGTGAAGGGCGTGTTAATTATTCGCGAGTCAGTTCTGTCTGATTCTGAGTTATTATTAGTACAGAAGCAGAACAGTTATTACACACAAATTTTTGGAACACATTGACGCACCATAATAGTTTGAACAAATGTATGCACCAGTAGAACATTTGTTACAAAAAGTCTGCATCTGTTACAAAATCAAAGACCCCACAAGTTGAGAGTGAATCTCCCTTTAAAGTAAACATTGTATTGTTGATAACCAGCAGTGAAGGGATTTGATGTGGTCAACACATCATCTTAAACACCAAAGTTTTTATCTCCCGTTTAATTAAATGTTTGTTAAGTTCGGAAAAGAGGGACTGGATCAAAAGGCACAACTTTTGATGATTGAGAAAGATCTATATTTTTCCAATCAAATTTAATCATCTTCATATTTGTTATAAACGTCGCACATTTTAGTTTTACTATTATTCACTTATTTTAGGTACAACTGTGTGATCTAAGACGTTTTTAAATTTCCTATCCTTTGTAGAGAAAATATCTTCATGAATAAGGAGGAGAAATATGTTACATACTTTCCTATTTAAATGGACAGATTTTAAGAAGCAAGCAAAGACCTTACTTCGTCCCAGATAACCCAATTTTCTCTAAAAGCAAAAAAAAAAAAAAGGAAGAGAAATAAATAATACTTCCATGCAGCACGTGCCCAAAGAATAACTAAGACGTCACATACTGAATAACTAAGTAGAGTGGCCCGGCATGGCCAGGTGGTTAGGGCGCTCGACTCGCAATCTGAGGGTCGCGGATTCGAATCCCAGTCACACTAAACATGCTCGCCCTTTCAGCTGTGGGGGCGTCATAATGTGACGGTCAGTCCCACTATTCGTTGGTAAAAGAGTAGCCCAAGAGTTGGCGGTGGGTGATGATGACTAGCTGCCTTCCCTCTAGTCTTACACTGCTAAATTAGGGACGGCTAGCGCAGATAGCCCTCGTGTAGTTTTGCGTGAAATTCAAAACAAACAAACCAAGTAGATAGAAAACGTTCGGATGCATGGTTTTTCTTCATGTCAATTTCCTTTTTTTTATAGAATTACGTCACTTTATTATGATAACACACATAAAAATATCTATTCATATCTTAGTTTCATTACGTTTTTTTACCCTGCACAAAGCAACTAAAGAGTAATCGAAATTTCTAATATTGTGACTACGTTAAGCTAAAACCACTGTTATAAAATTATGCCAGTTATCCCTCTGAGTTCATTGTTATGCAGTTTAGCTTTTGTTGATCAGCCATATGATCTGATGAGTCATTCAGCCTATGCTACATATAATGGTCTTGTCCCTGTTACCATTTTGAAGTGAATCAGAAAGTTTTAAGTACTCCACATTGTTAACATTATATGGCTAGACCTGAAAAAAATACGACATTTAAATGTTTCAATCATGTGGAGAACTATTACATAAATCAGTGAAAGCCAGCCAGTCACACCAGGCTGTTGTGAATTGGCTTTAAGTGTATCAAAATATCATTAGCGGAATATGGAATCATTTCCAAACTAATAATATAGCTGATTGTAACTCGTTGCAATTGTAGGGTATTTGCTTTGATACTGAATCAAATGTTCACCACCACAGCTGTATGCTGTTTTAGTATACATACATAAAGTTTGAAACAAACTTCAAAAGGCCGACCTATATATCAGGCCAGCAATGAGATGCATTCTGCTTACAGCAAAGCAGAAATCAGCTTGCCTCCAATGGCGTGCATATATGTATATATATGTATAGAAGGGGCAACTAAATTTAAATAAACCTGTCAGGTACATTGATGAAAAGTCTTGCAACAGGATGATTGACACTGTTTTCATAGCTGAAGTTGTTCAGTTTGATATGATAATGAGAGCTGAGAAATTGCCTATAGCAATGAAATAAAAAGATGGATTGATGCGAACAGCAAGGGTCATAAATTTCGAGAAAGAGGAAATTTAGAAACCGGCTTCACTGTGGGAAACGTTTTTAAACAACATGATATATGGGAATTTGGCATTGATAAATAATGTACACTTTGAACACTTGGAATAGATTTCATGTGGAAGAACATATGTGAGGTTAGACTTGCTTCAAAAATTTTTTTCAGTCTATGCATTACACGACAATTGCACCATCAGAGACAAAGCTTCCAGTGTGACAACAAAGATGGAAGTACAAGATGATGAAGACAACTAACCCAAAGTGCAATGGAGAAAAATCCAGATATACAGGTTGTCCAGTTAGAGACCATCTGTCACCAATAATGTTAACTTCAATGGAGACTTTCCCAATGGTAAATCGATCACTGAGTAGTCCGAGTTTCGTGTCAAGACCACTTTCAGAGTATAATAAACAGGAATGGAGTCACCAGTGGATACCATTTGTGTAATAGCATTGCTCAAAAGGCTTCATAATTCAGGAAGTGGCAGTGTTGTTAGCTATATTGTATTTTTTTAACTCAGACATTTATATTGTTTTTTGGCTTGAGAAACTTTTAATGTCACGTGAAGAGCATTTGGCTTAATGTCTGGAAATTTCTCTAAAGTCTTACAATTTTGAGCAGTATAAATTGAGGGGTTTGCTAGTCATTTTGTCTGTTAATGTCAGACAATTAGCTCAGTTCTGTGGATATTGAACTTCTGATTCATCGAAGTACTATAGAAATGAAAGAAGATTAATTAGCAAGGAAGTGACTTTTTAGCGTTATTTGAAAGTTAGGACTATCACCCGGAGAACGTTAGATTAATAATTAGTGTTTAATTTACATTATTCCTTTTACAGAATAATCCAAAAGAACCTGCTCAACAACATAAACTACTACAAATATTGTCTTACAACTACTTTTGCCTGGTAATAGACAAATTATTATAAATTTCAATAAATATTTAATTGTTTTATACAGAATAGATTGAAAATCAACTACCACAATGAAATTAGTTGTATGTTTCAGGTTCAAATCGTAAAACAAATGGTAAGATATAGAAATAAGAAGCACTTTTAGTTACAGCTTGATTAAACCTGAAACTTAAAAAATATACAAATTGTTGTAGGAAGAGGAGTTAAAGGACATCATTTCGAGTAGACTGTCTAGATTATCGCAATCATCATGACCAGAAAACATAGAATAACAATAAAAAAAGCCCTATCAAGGTATCATTCTGCAATTATCTTTATTTTCATTCGTAAATTCTGATAATCAATAGATTTTTGGATTTAATTCTATATACATTAACAATGTGACTACAGACTTTAATATTTCTTTAACATAACTATCCATCAAAATGAATATTTAAATAAAATAAAATAAAACTTATTGATCTTGATTTTGATATTATCTTTGTGTATGTGTAGAAAATATTGAATACGAGATAATAAAACATTTTTTTTTTTGTAGTATAAAAATACACATACATTTCTACCGGCCATGTATATATTTTATTAACTTTTAAGTAGGCATTACATTTTTAATATTAACAATATTGAGTAATTTTAGAGTTGGTGGTGCTAAATGCGGAAGAGGCCTATACCTTCAGTATAACTTCAACTTTCAAGATCACATTTGCATGAGAAAGATTAGTAACTTAGAAAACAAGTTAACTATTTACCCACTTTACAAATAGTGAAATGTATTAAAGGACTAGGTATGTTGTTTAACATGTCATAATTATGTTATTTGTCGTGGTTTTGAAAATGTATAGGCCTAGTAGTAATAATTGTAGTAGTTTTTTAAACAAATGTGTAAACTCACTAGTAATAAAGATATTATTATTACTAGTAATAGTTAACAACAACACAACAGCAGCATCTTCCAAAATATTTTAACTTTATTTTTAAGATTAAAATTCATTGTTATTAACATCAGTTGAATAAGCATCCCAGGTATAGTATTACTACTAGTACTAGTAAGTCATTAAGTTTAGTGACATTGACAGTTGAACTTTAAATTGAACTTTAAGTTTAACTTAAGACTCGGTGCAAGTGTGCAACATTAACAGCTCATATATTTCAGTCCCAATAAACCCTGACTAAGTTGTAATTCAACAGTACTAGTACTAACAATGTTACAGTGGGTTAGTTTAGCTATAAAGTATAAGTTGGACCTTAGTTATGCTTTTATGAAGTTTTACCAAGTTTTATTAATTCTAACATTGTCTAAAGTGACAAAAATGTATGCAAATTTAAAGGTTTTATAAAACTAAAGAAGAAGATCCAAGGACTGAATCCTCTATTGTTAGTACAGTATTTATGTTACTTGGATTTCTGTATTATTTATCTCTTGTTTTCTGTTGTTTTATTAATCAAAGAAAAAAATTTATTGTTGTAAAATAGTAAAATATGAAATTGGTTAGCATTTATAATTATGGATTATAATTAACATATTCTTTCAGCCTAATCATAGGCTAATGTCAGTGTTTTTTATTATCAATAAATATAAATGTTTGATGTTGGTGTACTTAATGTGTTATTGTAATATTCTACATTTTTCGCAAATCTTTTGATCCTTATCTTCCATAACAGTGTTAAGATTATTCTCATCAACATTGTAGTTTATACTCATAACTCAGATTGTGATATTCCACATGTATTATATTTAAAAGCCATATGCTATTTATTTGTTCAACCCACCAAATAATCCATATCCTTTTGTAAAGCAGCAGCATCCTCTAACTCTTATTTTTTTCAGAGATCTTAGCCTTTCTTTGTATGATCTATTCATTCTACTACTAGTAGCCCTTTTTTTGCACCCTTTCTCCAGTTCAATGTTCTTCTTAAAATAAGGACCTCAAGAGTAAACACAATACTCTAAATGCAACAAGTGATAATGAAATTATAACCTCTTAAGACTTGCATACAGTGTTTCTGTAAATACAACTTAAAATCCTATTTACCCTACCTTAGCTCTATTATCTTTGGTTCACAAACTCCCTCACCACTATGCAAACTTCAAATAAACTGACTTTAATGAACTGCTCTGGAGATTCCTAAAACATCCCACTAACTAACTAACTAACTTGCATATGTCGAGCCCATATTGTGCACATAATTTACCTTTATCCTAAAAATGATCCCACATGTCCAGCCAGTCCACTTAGTTTTTTTTTTAAACATATTCTAGATAATTATTCATTTAAGCCTTAGATCCTGTTAAGTAATTCATTCTCACATCTAGTCTGAAGAAGAACTCTCTAAAGAGACAAGTCTTTTATTATCCCTAAATGTTAGAAAAAATTCTTTATATTTATTAAGTAGTTTTTTTTATATACAACAACTTCCACATCAGTTGCTTCTATATGCACTACAAAAGGATAATTTTCCTTGGTACCATCAATTAAGTCTTTAAGACTTTAGCACTTGGAAAGCACATTTTCATTCTATCCTTTATAAACTCTACACTACAAACATGTTTATTAGTAATTTTGATAAGAGTCCTCCACTATGTACATCTTTTGATAAACTCCATCCTCACTGCAAGCAGCCAAAAGTTCATAGCTGTTGGAAACTGGTACTTTAATGTTAACTGAACCTGCCTTCATAACCTTAACTTTTTTACAACTGTGCACTTATTTTCTAACCAGGATTTAATTTTATAACTATATACATGTTCTCTGAAATTATGTTTAAGTATATTTTTGAATTTAAAATAGCTCTTTTAATTTTTTTAATGTAATCTGTATTAATAACATTAGATGTAGATTAATGGATTTTAATTTTAAAAAATGATAATATGACAAAAATGAATAATATATAATCAAATATGCATTTAATATAATTACAATTAAACAGGATTAATAAATTTCAGAGAATAATATTGATGCATTTTAAATGTACATAATAAACCTTTTCTCATCAATATGTTTTAGTATATTTTCTTTAAGTTAATTTCTGTAGCTTTTTAATAAATTCTATGAACTTAAGATTTATTTAGGTATTAAATGTTTATGTATAATCAATGTAAAAATTGTGTTTAATCTTAGCCTCTAGAATTTTGCATAGCTTTCATTTACTTATGTTTAGACCAAGATCAACAAAGTCCAAGAGATTGGGATATATTGTTTATTGAAATTATAGTTCTCAGCCCATTAAGAATGTTTTTTTTTTAATTTAAGAAATGTAATGTATATGGTTATTTTTATGTAGACATTTCACACTTAATTTTTCTTTCTTTCCAGATGGTTTTTCTTCTATTTGTAGAAAGGAAGCTGGAACCTATTCCATGGTTTAAAATCACTTTGACATAAAACTGTGGTAAATATGCACTACCTAAAGTCACCACTTGATGTGCTTAACTTTGTTCCAGGAGGACATGAGAAGGCCTTAAAACAGGCTTTTTACAGTACAGCTGCAATTCTCTTTGTCATATTTGCCTTTACTGCTGCTGTTGCGGTATATTTTGTTTTTGAGCCTTTCATAGAGCCACTCTTGTGGGCTGTATTGTTTGGTTCATTTCTCCATCCATTCAAGCAGAAGTTGACTGTGTTGTTTAGAGGATGGCTTAAGGGACTACATGATGATGGAACTCCTCTTGCTCTTGGTTTGGTTGTTTGCCCCTTTAAAATCATTGACAGTATATCAGAAGGTATTGGATATTTTCTTTTGCAGTATGTTAAATTGTTTTTAGGGCTCAGCATTGGTCTTCCAGTACTTTGTTTTATTTATGGCTTGCTTCCTGAAACATTTTCCAGTGATTTATGTGCTGGGATAGTATTGTTTTTTCAGAGTGCTTCAAATGTCTTGGAATTCTTTAGTAGAGCTGGTTTATTGGTGAGTAAAAAAATTTATTTTTAAGGTCATAATTTTAATATAAAATGATGGTATTTGAAGAAATCTTTGTAATTATATCATTAAATTAAAATTAGCCCGATTTTCAGTATGGACTTTTTTTTTTGGTCTGTATAAAACTGTCTAAAATTCAGTGCCCTGTGAATATTTATTTTGCCTCTGTACATTTTTCTTTGATATCTTGCATCTAATGATTGAATTTGCATTGTAGGTATGGACATTAGTGATTGGCTATATTCTTCTTGTGATGATATGGCGCACACCTCAGTCTCAACATGTACTTCCTCTGATGTCTCTCTTTGTTTGGGTGACTGTCATTTTTCACTTTGCAACAGTTGCTGGTCCATTACGTGTTCCTATTTTATTCATTCTATTGGTCCTGTTGGTTGTGGGTTTTGTCACTGAAGTTAAAGAGAATTGGAAACAGAACGATTATAAAGGTAAAGTAATATTTGTTTCTCTGAGTTCTTTCTAATATATTTCTTATTGTAATTGTACTGTAATTTATGATTTTGGTGATAATTTTAAGTATTTTCTCATCAAATATGTGTGTTAGTCACCTGCATGTAAATAATTTTTTAATCAAACGTTGTATGAAATTGTATGAGAAAAATTATATGTCTCTGTAAAGTTCTTTCCAGAAATTTTGATTGGCTTATGCTTAGTAGTTATGTTACTGTAGTTTGAAAACAAGCTTCACTGTTTCTGAAGTATTTTGGTATCCATTAATCTTCAAATGCTTATTAGTATCAGAAAATTTGTGTTTTCATATTGATATTTTGATTAACATGTTAGTATCAGTAGTTTAGTGATACCTAAACCTGTTTGTTATAGTTGTATTGATTCTCATTAGATTCATTTTTTAAAACAATATTTTTTTTATTTTTTAGTCATACTTAAACCCAAACACTTAACTGGTGATGTAAGTTAGTTTTTACAAACATGCTTTATTCTATCTTTACACATAGATAAAAAAGTTCACCCTCAACCATCAAGTGTGAGTACCTTGAAAGCTGCAACAGAATGGTTGACTGGAACAGGAATATCAGCTGAAGAGAGAGCACCAATGTTGGTATGATTTTAAAATCTAATAATACCATACTAATATATTTATTTTTAAGTAGAATTGTATGATGAATGAATGAATGTATTACACATGAGTTTATTGAACAGTTAAGAGTTGTTTTTGCATGCTTTTTTTGTATCATTTCACTAGCCATGACAAAACTAATTTTATTTCCAGTGCTTAGTTGTCAGTTTTCATATTATTGTTCAGAAATGAATGGAGTTTTTGATAGTGCTAGTCTACGTTGTGTAGATTTATAATTTAGTTAAGAGGTTGAAGGAAAAAAAATATTTATATAACACACGTACACACAGAAATTCACATAGCTGTTCTGTTCAGTGGTCTCGTTACTAGTACTTACAGCATGTAATACCTTTGTTAGATAATATTAATAAACCTGACCCCCTGTGAACCTTGTCAGCAGTCGATATAAGACATGATTTGGCATAGGTATAAATTACACAGAAAAGTACTTGTTGGACATCTAAAAGCAACCTTAATGCATCCAGTAAGATGCACTCACCAGATTTGAGAGATCTGGCTGAGCTGTTTAATACCATTGTTTTGTGAAACTATGTAAACACAAAGAACCTTATAAAAGAAAAAATTGTTGTATCAGAATTATTGATCTCACTACTTTTCAAACACACACTGAGAAAATTAGTTACAGTAGTACTAGTGTGTAACAAAACATGTTTTCAGTCTGTCCAGCTTAATCTGCATAATTCTTGTAACTCTTTCATTTAAATATACTAAATATTAAAAATCTAAATTAAAACAAGAAGACAATCTGAGAATATAAGGTAAAAATAATGAGGAATTGTTTTTTAATTCTGTAACTTTTCAGTGTTTTAGAGCTTTTCTTTTAACATTGAAAATCATATAATGACATATGAACATTATAATTACATATTCTTTCTTTATTTTCTATCAACACTGGAGTTCTTGTTCCACCCTTTAAATTGATGCATAGAACATGTATTGACTTTAATATGAATTGAAAAATAAAATGAATGTATAATGTTAAATAAATGTGATCAAGCTTATGAAATGACCAAGCATCATATTAAAAACCTATGTAAGTTTTGTATTATTATCTTATTTTCATACTGTTATTTATAATTTGAGCAAATTAAGCTTGTTGGATATACAAGACTGTTTAGTTTAAGAGTTACTTAGTTTATTTAGTTTTCATAACGAGTGCTAAAAGTTATTTATTTTAAAAATGATAGTTATTACAAGTTTCATCACATAACTTTGTAAGAGTCATAAGTTGTGTATGCAATTTTATTGTTGTACTAAGCTTTTGTAATAAGTCTTTCTCATTATGTTTAATATTGTTGTTACTAGAGAGCTAGTTATTTCTAGAATTTTCTGTTGCATGCAGATAGAGAGTGAAAATAAGACAAAGTTAAGTGAGAGATACAAATCTAGACTGTGATTGTCAGTTTAGACATAATGGACGATTTCTGAAGCAAAAGTTTCACAGTTTGTATTGTAAAAACAGAGATAGAGAAGAATAGTTCCTCTTGTCAGTTGGATTTAAAGTAACTGAACCAACCTGTGTGGACTTTTGATGTATAAGAGAATTATTTAAAGCTCTAAATACAGCTGTTGTAACCCATGGGGTAATATAAGTGAATTTATCACTGATTGTATTGTGATAACAGAGATGGAGGAGAAATAATTTGTCTTGTTAAAAGGTATTCTAAATTAATTGAACCTGCTTGTGTGGACTTTGACAAAAAAAAGACAATTATTTATTAAAGCTCTAGATTCAACAGTGGTAAACAATAGTGCAACAAATTTTTGTATGTACGTTGGATTTATTTTGAATATATTTGAAGACAAGTGGTTTGTGTGCTGTCCATTTATTGCTAAAATTTATCGCCAACAAGTCGCAGACACCTACTGTAAAAAATCTGGCCCTATAAAAAACCTGACAAAGCTACTGTCATTTGAATATAAAATACTATTTGTGAGCAATTTGGTTTTTATAAAATAATATCACAAAGATAATATGTATATTGTATCTTACATGTGCTGTTGTTTCTCCCTTATACAATCAAGAAAGTAATATAAACATTTGAAATATATGTGAATGAGTGAATTCTCTTAATGTAGTAAGCTATAATCAACTAAACTTTTTCTCTGAATTTCTCAGATCTTGTTGTGCCTATTTTCTCTGAGAGGGGTGATATTTATATATCTTTTTTTTTTGTGTTCTAGTTTAAAGAATCAGAAACTCCTCATCAAAAGGTACAGGTAGAACCCTGTACACCAGACCAGTTGGAAAAAAATGTTATCAAACCTACTTCTCTCTTTTTACTGGCACCAAAGAAAAGTAAAAAAGAAAGACAGCTTAAAGAGGACCCAAAATTAAGCAACTTGTATTTGTATAGACTTGCATGGGCCTGTATTCTAACTGAATTTTGGTTAAATTTATGGCTTTTAAACCTTCTTCCTTTGCCTGTGATTTACCTTGCTGTGAAGAAGTTAGGTGAGTTAAACAAGCTTTACTAAAGTTTCATTTATAATTCTAAATTGAAATGCAAAGAAACTCAATACAAAATTTTGTTTATATACGTGCCCATTATCAAATTTATCACATTCTGACCATTGGTGTCACTTTTGAGGAGACCTTCACAACGTTCTGTGTAGGGCTTCAGCAAAACTTCCATAAAATTTTAGGAACATATTACTTGTGATGTCAGATGTATATTTGAAACTCCCCGTCTCTAATCAAGAAGAGTTCTAACATAGAAAAATGACCGTATGGTGGGGTTTCAGTCCTTAACTTTCTTATAGCACCATAATTTATTCTTGAAGGATTATGTAAATGTTTCTGAATTGTGGATTTGTAAATTAGTTTTTTACATATGCAACAGCATAGGAAACTTTTGAAATGGTTCCTCACTAATAAAAGATGATTCTCTGTATTTGTTGCTCATCACATAGATCATGAAATTTGTTAAATAATATAAACTGATAAGTAAAAAAGAGACTCCGAGACCTGGACTTGAAATGGGACCTCTGGCTAACAAGACCAGTACTCTGCCACTGAACCTACCCAAGAGTACAAGCCATACCCATCGATGTTCTCTTATAAAGCCTCTCACTATGAGTATGATCACCATCCCATGTTGTTTTGTTATGACCATGCAATTAGTGAGTTGATTTTCCACCACCCAAACAAATATTATAAAAATATAACTAGACTTACTCATAGTGAGAGACTTTATAAGTGAACATTAACAGGAAAAGCTTGTACTCGTGGGTAGGTCATGAGTAGAACACTGGCTTTGTTGGCCAGAAGTCCTGTGTTCAATCCCTGGAGTCTCTTCACTTACTGGCTGTTTCACTTAAAATATTTAATATTAATTATTACAATAATAAACTATGATCTATTGAATCAATGTACATATAGATTACATATCATTTCTTTACATAAGTAGATTATCAACTGCTGATTTACTTGTAACACTAAATTTCTGATTCATCATGAATTGTTGACTGTTATGTGTAATATAGCAATCGTAAATTGGTATAAGTCTATCAACACACATATATATGTTGTAATGGTTACAACAAAGAAAAGAAATATTACCCTGCCAGCCTTTAATCTGGAGTAGCTATAAATACATAAAAATAATTAGCTTCATTAGGAGAACAGTTGAATACATTATGAAGTCATTGTTACATATAGAATGCCCCTATCATGTAGCACCTAAGAAGAGATTAATAATACCTTTGCCTTATTATTGATAAAATATATGTAGATGTCTTCTATAGTATATGACTTATGTTTTTTTATGTGTTTTCTGAAATAGGTTATATTTTTACCTTCCCACGTTAGATTTTTAAAAATTGATGAAGTAAAACAGAATTTAGGTGACCCTGAGAGACACATTAAGCTATGAGGTAAAACAGAATTTAGGTGACCCTGAAAAATGCCTTAAGCTATGAGGTAAAACAGAATTTAGGTGACCCTGAAAAACGCCTTAAGCTATGAGGTAAAACAGAATTTAGGTGACCCTGAGAGATACATTAAGCTTATTACTTGTTTGGCTTTAGTTTAGATTAATCTATACAAAATACTTAAGCAGATTTTCTACTAACCAGAGTTTTCTCATGTTGCACATCCCTCATGTATAACAGTTGATAATGTAGTGATTATTCAGTGTTCTGCATAGAAACATACTTCTTTTATATATGTAGTGTATTTCAGATCTGTTATGTTGCAGAAAATTATCCCTTTTATTTGGCTAATCTCTCTAGGGGTTTAAAGATCAAGAGAGGATTAAGTTTTAATGGTTTTCTTAAAAGATTCCTACTTCCTATTAAATGTTGGTTTATTTTAGACTGATCTGAACCATTCACTTGGCCTAATAATGAATTTAATAACAATGTCCTTCTGTATGTAAATAAGTGAAAATTTATTTATTACATTATATCTGTTCCTTAAATAGACTACGAATGAATTAAGTAAAATAGATAGCTTAATTAACAACAGCCACATGTTTTTGTTGCTTTTTTTTCGTGTCTGAATGCTGGTTTAAATTCATAGTATACACCTTAATGTGCACATATTCCAGTGACTTAACATACATCATCAAAAGTGTTGTCAAATCAATTGTAAATTGTAGTGAAACACGGTAGCTTCTACAGAAAAAGTATTTGGGAAGAATATGAAAAAATGCACTGGTTTATTTATGTGCTATGCATTTTTGTAATAGTATTTTAAGGCATAAAAAGTCAGACTTTTAATGTTTTACTGAAAAAAATGAGGGATGAACAACGTGGAATTTCTGTGATGTGCTTCTTATCCGGGCAACGGGAGTATTATCCAACCAGTCAATTTACAATAAGAAGAAAACACTTTTTTTGGGCTTGAATATTGTATTTTAAGGAAAATTTGTGTACTTGATTGTTATAGTATTGATTGTTCCTTTAATTATACCTGTAGGTTGTCACTTTGGGTTGTTCAACTTCATTAAAGAAAATATTTCTGCTGGTTGGGAAGTTGGGATGAGGTGGTGCCAGAGTAGGAAGGAAGCTCTAGTCCCCGCGCCTATTAGAGGTTTGGCAAAGATGCTGGCCCGAGGTGACCGAAAGGTAATTGCTTTGATTATTCCACAAGTGCATCAGTTACACTAATGAGTGACTTACGTGTTATCAGTAAAAATTTATAAATATTTCAACAAATTACGTTTTTGTATAAAAGAATTAAGTAAGAGACTGATCCAAAACAAAAAATTTAATAAAATTAGTAATTTTTCACAATATATATCTTAAGAAACTCCAGATCTTGAAAATATTTATAAAAGGTAAGAATATTTAAGATATCATTTTGCACATGGAGATAGAACGTAATAACCCTAAATATTCTTCTTAAAACATAGACTTAACAGGAGTTGAAATTGAACAAACTGTATGGTAATCCATAATAAATGTTTCACATATATACTAGTGAATATAAGGATAATGTAAAAATAATAGAACTATAGACTTTTCAAACAACAGCCTTTTTTTTCACTTCTGGGTTTTTGACTTGATTAAATATCTGAATAATTTTATTCTCTAATTATAAAAATTACTTTCAAAGTTATGGAACTTGCACATATTTAGATTATTCAAACTGTGTGCACCTTAGTAATACTGAATATTTTAACTAAACATTCTTTTTGGGTGATGGTATACCAAGATATTTATTGATCAAAAACACACATGTATACCATTCTAGCTTTAAAATTTCTAACACATCTCCATGAGAAAATTAAATTAGTAAGATATCAAACGTTTACAAAATCTCTGCTTGTCCTGTAGAATTCACCTTACCTGGAATATAATTTAAAATCTATTTTATAAGTCTCGTGAAAATTCCATTTACAATCAATTCTCAGTTAACCTGCTATAGATGAGTCTAAATCTGTTATTCCATGGGTCAACAAATGTTTCATCGTAGAAAGAAAGCATTATTACAGAAAAATTTGAGGGTCAAATTGAAGATAAAATTTAGAAGTAATAGTTTTTTTCAAAATGATTTCAGTAATACTTGGTGTTATAAATATTTTGAAAGTGAAAGTAGATGAAAACTTATATTTTTCAATTCTCAGGTAATAGATATTTTGGAGGACTCCATCGATACTTTTACCAGTACTAGTGTTATACTATTTGTTCTCATTTTGACAAGTATTGGGACAATTTTCCTATCCGTACAGGTAATGTAATTGTGTTGCAAGTTAATTATTTTGATGAAAGGTAACTTGTAAAGTTGTATAATAACAATGATTACACAATAATAATAATTTTTTCTAGCAGCAGTGCTTCTACTGTGTGAAAGCTAATTATCATAGATTGATAAAATCTCTTGACATTTTTCTGTATTACATATTAGTAATTTAAGAATTGTAATAAATCTCATGCTGTTTGTAACTACCCTGTAACCCTAAAGTTCAATAGTTTATAAATTTATGTTTTTAACATTCATTAGCCATATTACAAGCCTTAAAGATCTTGTTTTTTTGGTTTATGTTTTGTCTTTTTAAACAAATTATTTGTTATATGATGCATTATTCTTGAGCATTGTAATGAACAATAAGCTTTTTACACAATATTCTCTCTGTTTGTTAGTCTAATCTTGTATGCTCCAAATTTCTAAATTTATTTTCGTTTTCTGACAAATATTTTATGTTTCTGTATTATATTAATAAAATTTGAATTGATAAAGAGCCAAATGTTTTCTGACAATACATAATTTTGGTTAATATTTTGTAAAACTGAGAAAGTTAAAACAATTTTGATATGGGAATAGGACTGAATTTCAGCCCATTTCAATTTTGAAAGCTTAGTGTTGTGATAAAATTATGGGTGACTTAATTTCTAATCTGTTGCAATAATGAATGATAATTTTAGAAATGTTGTTAGAATTTATTACAATAAAAGTCATTCCTGTGATGTGATAAAGATGTTTTCTGTAGTCACCTTATACAGTGAGTGTGTGATAAAGAAGTCTTCCTTTTCAACAGATCTATGGTGAAAGCATGCATTTGGTAGAAGTAACAAGTAATTTAATCAATAGAGTTGTTGTACACAACCCAGAACTGCAACAGTTGTTGCCAGAAAAGCTGCAGGACGTTCAAGGTACATTAGACTCCATGGTGGGTAACGCCTATGTTTATGGAAGAGAGTGGATTGCTAACACGGTAAGGAAAGTTCTAAAGCCTATATATCATGTAAACTATCATGTTAAAAAAGAAACTTTTTCTTCCATCCTTAGATCTGAGAAAGTTTATAGAGTTTGCTGTGTATATTCAATTAAAACTTTTTAAGTCTTTTTTTTTTTTTCTCACTCAAATGAAAAATACGTCTTGAAAAAATAATAATCTTATTTTTTGTTTTGTCTGGTAGGTGAAAGAATTTATTGATGAAAAAGATAAAACTAGAGGTGCCATTGTTGAAGAACAGATTTTAGAAGTCTGGGATCGCATTTACCATATGTGGATAACAAGAAATGCCACCAATATTACCAGCTCTTTCTTATTCCATCATGGAATGTCATGGAATGACATAGTAGATGGAATGAAAACATTAAACTTAACCCTTTTAGTCAGCTATATCCAAGAAAATATTGGCACCCTGCTATCGGTGAGACAACTGATAAGTGTATTAAAACATTTTCAAATTTCATCATTTATATAATGATTATATCTATTTTTTTTTAATGGCCTTTGATTTTGCTTCCATTTTAAAATCAATAAACTTGATCCTTTTTGCTTAGTAGATAATTCAGGGACAAGTTTCACCCATTAATTATAACATAGAATTACTTCTAAATTCAGTTGACCTATAATCAGAAGTTAATTGTTTTGCCTAAAATAGATACATAAAACTTGTGTTTTATTTTTAGTAATAATTGATAATGTAGTTTTACTAATGATAAAAACCCTACAACCCAAGCACTTTCGAAAGGTGGACCTTTCTTCAGTTTTCCCCTGAAGAATAAAGTTTTTATCATACCAAGACTTCTTGTAGCTACATATTTTTTTGACATCATAACCTACCATAGTGTGCTCTTTGTAACTGATAATTTCCACTCAAGCAACATGCATGAATGTCATGTTATTTCATAGACTATCTTGGGGCATCACACCATGTCATTGTACTAAAATGTACTAATAAATTACCACCTGCCAGACAGTACCTAGATTTGAGTACTGATCAATCAAAAGTCAGAAAATAATTTTTGTGTGGAACCTCAACAATTAACATATCAAATGTTACCATGGGGGCAGCATGGCCAAAGTTTCTAACCAAACCAATGTGTGGATCTCATGCCCTTGAAGTGTTTGGTGTCATGGTGCAAGGTAAACAACAGTTACTTCTGAATTTTTAGGTACTCCATTGTTCTGGCTGCTCACGATTCTGCCCGCATGCCCAAAGTGACAGAGAAATTAAGATGAACAAAGAATGAAGTCAGCTATTACTAACTCTATAAAAACTACACCTAAGTGTATACAATTTGAGGGACAGGCCCCAAACAATCCCAGCATGAAAATATCTCTGGTTTCGATAAGAAATAATGTTGGCAAGAATGACAACACCCAGTTGATTTGATACAAGATTTGCAGATCATAAAAGGCTGGAGCCAGACAGCACATGAAGAATTCAGCCCAATGAGATGACGAGGGCTACATATTTGGTACAACAAATGTAAAGAAATGAAATACAAAAATCATCCCCTGACTATATTACACACCAATTTAAAAACACACTTGGAACTAGACATAGATGTAATTGTGTCATAAAAGTTGCCTAGGCCTACATTTAAAGTGACGTGGACATTACAAAGTAGTTAAAACCAAATTGTATATTTAGAAATTTTAATGTATGTATATACATATCTGATGTTTAGGCTTACATGTAAAGTGAAATGGATATTGCAAAGTGTTTATAATTGAATTGGACATTTAGAAGTTTTTTGTATGCATATACATTCATGAGTGCATGATAATGATATATGTTTAATTTGTCATTCTTCGGAACATTGACCCTAGGCTCATGTCATGGCCTAGATTTTTACAATTACTAGATCAGTATTTGGAATTTTTTCCTAAATTCATACGTTTGTTTAAGCAGTGCTCACTTACTTTTTGGAGAAAAAATGTGCAGAATTTCTGCGGTTACAATCATGCACTATGGATTGACATTTTATAACATGTTAACCTTGTAATCCAACTTTTCTTCTACTTTATGCAAAAATTCCTGGAATTAACTGGCTGTATAACTTATGAAGTGTTTCATGTAAAGCTTGATTACTAACTACAATTGTAATCACTGTTATATGAATATTTTTAAGATAAAGAAAGTATTTATGGAGGTAAAACACAGTCATAAAAACTAAAAAGTTGGGATAATCCAGTCATCACGGTGACTTGTTTAAATTTGTTACAGAGCATAATGATATCATAAGACTTGCAAAATGTCATTTTAAAACAATGATTGAAAACATTTCCTGGATAAAAATGGCACCAGTGAAACTGAAAATTGAGTCCTCTGATGCCAGTTATGACTTCAGGTACTATTTCAAATTAGCAAAGCTATTATAATTTTCAATTGATTTACAAAGAATAATTTTAAGTTAATTAGTTCTGTTTTAATAAAATCCTTGCTAACATAATTCTGAAAACGAGATGCTTAATTTCATAGTCGTATTAATAATTGCTGCAGAGAGGGTAAATAAAAACGTATTTAAAAGTTAGGGGCTAAGATATCCCACTCCACATCTTTGTAAATGTAAGGAAATTTGAACTGCACCATCTGGTGGCTAGTTTAATAGCACTTACTGTGCTGCCTATTAAACTACACACTTCATATTCAGAAGTTTATATCTTATAATGTTGTTTATTTTTCATCGTTTTTGATAAGATCACACTGACATGTGAAATTTGGTAATATTTGTATACTGTTCATGCTTTTAGGTTTATTAGTTCAAGTAAGTGGCCATGTTTAAAGATAAATGTTTTGAGAAATTTGTGGATCATAATGTGAATCCTTGTGATACTATAAGAACTGGCATAGTTCAGGAAGGTGTTTGAAATTGTTTGCAGTAAACACAAAAACGTATTAAGGGTTATTCCATATTAGATTGAATATGTTTTTCTGAACTTTATAAAATTGAAAAACATATCTAAATGTTTATCAATCATAAAACCATTGAAACTTAGGAGTACAAAAAAAGTAACTTAATGAATAAATTATACATACATAGGGTTAATTGCACAATAAAGTATTTAATATGATACAGAACTGATAATTACCATGTATAGTACGCTTTACAAATTCTATAACTTCAAAATCCTAAGATTTCATTTTTTGACAGGACAGCTTTCAGAATTAGAAAAATTAAATGTTTTTACAGCGTGATACAGCCTAGCTTTTATGTAGAGTGCTTAAAGTGATAACATATTTGAGACATTTTTACATTTGGCTAATTTTTTTTACACTCTTCTTGAGCTGGAAATGCCAGTTATGGTAAGAAACTGTACGAGTTTACAGTAATATGGAAGACTGCTGTGAAAATTGTATTCCTTGTATCTGTTAATAGGACATATTTTATAAAATTAAATTAGTATTCTGTCTCTTGATAAAGAATATTTGTCAATATGGTGAACTTGAAGTGCTGGGAAAATTTGGGAGGTATAACAAATATTGAGAATGAACAAGTCAGTGCTAATAACACTGGTCGACAAAACCAAACTTTTTCTCTTTCATCAAAAATGCACACTTTTCTAGACCAGTTTTGCATGCTGATTCCAAATCTGTTTTCAATTTTATTCTAGCACATCTAATTATCAAAATATGACTGGTGTTAATTTCAACACAATCTAGGTAATAATCACACATTAGGCTAGTTAACATTACAACTTTATTCATTTTTCAGTATAATTCCCATAAACATTATACACACCATACACTTGGTTAAATTTATACTGTACACACTTATGACAAAGAAATGTACAACAACTTAAATTATAATTAACGCAATAACCTTTCAAATTTGATCGGTCTCATCATGTAAACTTTATGTGCTAGAGGAATACCAACAACAGATTTGGAATCAGCATCCCAAGAGCTATCTAGCCCACTTATAATTGTATCTCATAAAAATGACTTGTTGGCCAGTGTAATTTGAAATATGGAAAGATAATTGTAATTGATAATTATTATGTTTATTAAACACATAAACCAAAGATGAGAACTATGTCATTCACTTTGATAAATGTGATTTAGATAAATAATGAATGTATCATATGTGTATATATATATATATAGAGAGAGAGACTTTTTTATATAGCACCATGCTTGGAGCTCCACAGTTAACGTAATTATGCTTTTCAAGCCGGGTGGACATTCTTGCTATATATAGGGTCTTTGATATACCTTAAGGTTTATAAGATACTATAGCACAGTGTTTTGTATTAATAAT